CAGAAGGCAGGCGAAGCCAGGGAACAACTTAGGCAGATGGATGAGTACCTAGCCTCCGTCGAAGCTGACACAAATTATCTACCCGCCGAGCAGTACGATTTACCACCTCCGCTACAACCAAACCCACCTCCGCTCCATCCGAAGATAGGGGAAAAACTATGGACAAAAATGAAAAAACATATAGATTAGTAATTTAAACATTGATCCTAACTAGATAGAGACAACATTGTAGCTGTTGAGTCTGTTGTGTTGGAAAATGAACAAAGTGAAAAATGTGCAATTTAATATTAGTAATTTATTTTAGATCCATGACATCAGAAGATACGTGTTACAGCAACAGCCACCATAGTTGAAGCTAATGTTTAGTAATTGATACATTTATCACAGTTGGATAAAGATTGTATAGTATCTATTGTGTTAGAATATTAACAAAGTGAGAAAACATGCAATTTAATATTAATAATTTTATTAGTTCAAGGTATATTAAACAAGAATTAATGCTTAGCTGTTCTAAGGGCAGTCCCAACGGTGCATTGATGATGGTTTCTATCCTCATTAAATGACTTGCCACGTAGGCAAAATGCTGACATGGCAACGTAATTAATGAAGAAAGAGAGCAAAAATCATAGAAATGGTTTCTTCATGAAGAAACCAGGTCTACTCTTGACCCAATGCACCAAGAAACCATGAAATCGCCATTGGAGAGAAACCACCAGTTTCTAGGGAGCTCGTGTCGCACTCCCATTGGAGGAAAAGATAGAGTTGGGAGAGAGAAAGAGAAAATAGTTATTACTCATAGAAACCATGGGTTGGAAAACAATACTTTTTTGGTGCGATATCCTATGTTATAGAAACTACTAGTTTCTTTCATTGGGACTGCCCTAAGATTCTATCCCGTTTCCCGTGCACGGGTCGATGCACTAGTAAATGTATAATGAACAAGAGGTATCGTAGGAAAAGAGAACAGAACAGCTTTCTGGATAGCAGAGGTTGCCCTTGCAGTACAGTCAGATCGCCGCTCATCTCCCTGACTCCATACGCATTACAAAGGGTACTCGAATCTTGGATAGTGTGAATGCTGTGCACGGCTGGCCATGGCCGGCCAGCTAGCTCTCCGCTCGGCCGCCGGAGAAGCATGAAAACCTGGTGTGGAAGAAAACAGAGTAACAGCAGATTAACCAACCACCTGAAGTTACCAAGAAACTACGGAGTAGTTTGCTAACAATAAAGGATGAGTTCAGGAGTAGTACAGGTTGCCGAGGAAGCCGGTTTTCTTCTGGCCACCAGGCGCCGGCGCTTGGCCTTGCTGCACATGGTTCTCTGGAGGCCCAGCGAGATAGTTTTATCAAGAGAGGATTACATTTACGAATTGGACCCAAAACCGGGGGAAAACACAAACTCAACAGCGATAGAAAAGTAGAAAAGCAGAAACAAACTGAACCGGCTTGGATCGCCGGTGAAGTTCGCGTCGGCGCCACCTACCAGCAGGAGCGCTCTCTTTGTTCTGTGCATCGGCGGCATCTTGCTGTTTGTCCTCGTAGTTGGCCGGACGGCCGACGAAGTAGCCTGTGCGTAGCAGAAGCCAGAGCTGCTTAGCGCAAAGAATCGCGGCCGGGCAGGCTAGATCAGCAGATCTGAGGACACGGAGGAGCGGGAAAATCTTGAGATGTTCCCGCCGTCGTCCATGTCGGATTCAAGGCGTTGACCTACTGTTCTAGGGCAGAGAGAGAGAGGGAGACAGATGTTGTGAGGATAGATGACACGTACGTACCTCCGGTTGCCTAAGGATACAAACACGTAGAAGACTAACAACTACTAGTTGATTACCTTTTAGACGAGTAACAACTAGTTGGAACTAACAACTAATCCTGCTAGTCTATTCAAACAGACCACTCGACCGTTGTTTTTAATGGAAGAAACCCCTAAACTACAATTACTAAATCCGTCCGTGCGGGTTCGTCTCTCTATGACTAACTCACATGATTAAGGAAAATCCACATTTAAATCACAAAAAGCATTATATCGATAACTAAAGCATTATTCTAGAAAAGTCTATGGCGCTTGTAAGAAAAGAGGAAGCAGCGTAATGGAATTGTAGTTTCATTGAATAATCTTCAAAGACTGCATCAAGTATATCAATTGTAGAGGGAAAAAGTATCAACTTTTTCATCATAGGACAATAATGCAATCCAGGTATAGAATGAAGCTCATCATCCTCGTCCTGCAGTTTACTTGAATCCTCTCACCCGTTGACTAGGCTCCGCCGCTCCGACAAACAGCTCTGGATCCTATTGCTCGGAAGCTCGACTACCACAGATGCACGGGAACCTGCAGCCGGAGACGGAGAAGAAAGAGATTATGTTATACCATCACTAATCAATTCAATAGTTGTACTAGTAGTAGAAAAAGAACAAAAAAATTAATTACCATCTGGCCAGGAAGCTTGACCTGTTCTTGGGAGGAGGCTGCCGAGTCGGAGATGCAGCTAGCTCTTTTGGTTGTTGCGTCTTGTCAGGGTTCACTGGGGGACCCACGAAATAATTGTGCGTTGCTGCAAACACGTACAGGACGCTGTTTAGTTTGGAGTTTTAAACTGAGCCCTTGTTTAATTACAGAAATTTGGATTTTGGGGCTACGGTAGCACGTTCGTTTTTATTTGGCAAATAATATTCAAACATGAACTAATTAGGCTTAAAACGTTCGTCTCGCAATTTCTCACCAAACTGTGCAATTAGTTTTTCTTTTCGTCTACATTTAATGCTCCATGCACGGGCCGCAAACATTCGATGTGACAGGTACTGTAGCAACTTTTTGGAAATTGAGGTGGAACTCAACAAGGGCCGAGCAAGTGGAGAGCTATAGAGCGAATCGATCTCAAATGATGAATTTAGCTAGTAACAACTGAGCAAACAAGCATGTACGGACCAGGAGCTTGCGCAGCACTGGTGACCTGCGGTGCTTGTTTCGTTGCCGGCGCCGTCGGTGCCGCCGGTTCCGGCGCTGTGTACGTCTCTGGGGGACCAACGTAGTAGTCGCCTGAAGAGAGTGGGCAGAGAAGGAAACAAATGTATGGCTGAATGGCTCAGTCCCAGGATACAAGTCGAGAAGGCACATACAATCCATCAGGATGCAACAAAATTAGCAAACAACAAGCGCCAATCATTACTCTGTGAAAGAGGTTGGCAGATCCAATATACGATGACTAATAAGATGAGTTGATCGAGTTTACCATTGCCAGGTCACAGGAGACAGAGAGACTGATCGATCGTAGATGGACAGAGATCACTAACCGTTGCTCATGGTGGATCTCCAGGAGATTAGCTAGCCACAGGTGCCACCACCGCTCTTTGCCGATGGCGACGAGCAGCGCCACGGGGCCGAGAGGATATTAGCCGGACGAGGACGATCGGAGACAGAAGTTAGAGAAGCGCAGGGAGAAGAAGAAAGTTGTTGGAGTCTTGGAGATGCCTTCGCCCAGGATGGCAATGGTTCAGCTCGAATGCCTATAGGTTGTTGTTATCGACCAATTTTGACCAGGTCTACGCCGCCACCAGGGGTCCACACGGTTGCTTCGTCGAGCTCTCATCACACTAGTGTGAAACTGCTGGGCATAACATGAAACTAAAGGCTGACTCCACTGAGCTTGTCGGCATATCTGTGTGGTGTGTGTGGCGCTGTGGCGTCGCCCATTTTTTTTTTTTTTTTTTTTTTGTCCAAAATATTGGATTTCGTCCCACAATCGTATCTACCAGAAACCACCTTGCACTCTCTTTAGTTTTTTTTTTTTAATAAAGTCTAGTAGAGCGCAACCTCTCCTGTTTTCTCTTCAACAAAGAAATCATATCTATCCAAAGATTCAATCTATGTTCTCTAATTATATACGGTGTCAAAAGAAATTCTTGCTACATTGTGTGAAGAAGCCACAGTTAGTGAAATTAAAAAATAATGATTCACCGGCTGCCTCCTAATTTATTTTGAGTGCACGGAGAGAAAAACAACTTCTCCCTACAATATATGGAAGCCGCTCCAGGGTGTCTCATTCTTCTTGAAGAGATGCCAGGGAGAGGCAGCCAAGGCAGCAGCTAGCTAAAGCTGGCTGCCAGCCAGCAGAATCTGCCACAAAGCGATGGTCTAGGGAGATGCTCCCGGTACAATTTTGTGAGAGAGAAATTGGTGACAAAGAGAGGATGGGTACAGACGGGTACCTTACAATACAATTATGGATAACAAACTTGGTTGAGAAAATAATTAATCATCCAACTTGGAGCTCAAGTAGGAATGCAACCGGTTGTCCAGTGGGTGGCTCTTGGTCGCTGCATTGGTCCATTTTTTTTCACTTTTCTTGCTTTGAAATTGGAACTACTAAGCCCTAAATATGCATCGGCAAATACTTAATTGGTTGATCTCCGGGAGATTAGCTAATTTTATTAATCACTAACCATAGTTAATTTGATTAATCACTAACCGTAGTTAATTTGGTTGAATTTTAGGCCAAGTGACATGGGAAAAGAAAACATGCATGCCAATCCAATGCATATGTAAAAAACAAGGCATATTCGCCCATCGCCAGCATTCCTGCACCCACCATAGCCATCCCATGCCAGTTGCCAGCACTACTTTAGCAGCACTTTTCAGTGAACGAACAGTGTTTTCTTCTCACAACAAATCAGTATAAGCATCAGCATAAGCCAAATTTCAGCGAAACGAACAGGGTATGCAGCTGCAAAATGTGAAATGTCACATGTACCAGTCTACCAGAAGATGGTTTATTGGCTATACATGATTAAAATTGGCATTCCAAACCGAAGTTAACGAGTCACATTTGATTTTAGTAAGTTGCAATTTGTCTTAATCTCTCCCATACATAATTTTGCATGCTGTACTTTCTTAGCCGATGATTCTTCCACCTGCTGGAAGGCACGTTATTTCAAATTTACATAGTACGTGGCTCTCTGGGTCACGTTTTTCAAACATGCCTAAATCCAAAGGTTGGGGACAGTCTACAGAGAATTGAAAGCACCAGTTCCAAAGTACATACTTCCAGTAGGGTAAATATTCCTACATCCTACAGGCAATAGTCACTTGTCAGCATTCAAAATAACTATAGCTGTACCACTGAAATCAAATATTAGTCCCACCTGCTGGGTCATTTGTAACTTCCTGGGTTTACAAGTAAATATTGGAGTATATGGGGTTCCTAGCTATACCTTTGTGCAATTTTGGGTAGCATATCCAAGTTCTGAGAAAGAGTATACCTTGGGTGCCAAAATGACTGGTTGATTCCTAGTCCACATGGGCATGAATATCATTATAATAAATCGAGTAAAATGTACAAATATGGGTTAGAATGGAACAATAGTGAAGAAGTGGTACCAAATACTAATGGCAGGGGCAGAAACACCTTCCCAATGGAAAAAGAGCTGCAATTCAAGCACAGGGGCCTGTTAAAGCAGAAACTGAGATTCCAGTAGGAGAACACCTACTACCTTGATGAGAAACTGACAGCAGAGGAATATAATGTTGATTCAAAACAAAATGGGCACTTGGAAACATATATAGAATGAATAGTTACATTTAATCGCACTTCTGGTAGTATAATGAACAAGTGATATCGTAGGAAACGAGAACAGAGCAGCTTTCCGGATAGCAGCAGAGGTTGCCCTTGAGGTACAGTCAGATCGCCGCGTGTACCTCCCTGACTCCATACGCATCACAAAGGGTACTCGAATCTTGGAGAGTGTGAATGCTGTGCACGGCCGGCCATGCCGGTCAGCTAGCTGTCCACTCGGCCGCCGGAGAAGCATGAAAACCTGGTGTGGAAGAAAGCAGAGGACCCGCAGATTAACCAACCACCAGAAGTTACCAAGAAACTAGTTTGTTCATGTGTGGTAACAATGGAGGAGGAGTTTTGGAGTAGTACAGGTTGCCGAGGAAGCCGGTTTTCTTCTGGCCACCGGGCGCCGGCGCTTGGCCTTGCTGCAGCTCAAGGTTCTCTGGAGGCCCAGCGAAATAGTTTCATCAAGGGAGGATTATTACGAATTGCAGCAAAAACCGGGGAAAACACAAACTCAACAGCGATAGAAAAGCAAAAACAAACTGAATCGGCGTGGATCGCCGGTGAAGTTCGCGTCACCTACCATCAGGAGCGCTCCCTTTGTTCTGTACATCGGCAGCATCTTGTTGCTTGTCCTCGAAGTTGGCTGGACGGCCGACGAAGTAGCCTGTGCGTAGCAGAAGGCAGAGCTGCTTAGCGCAAGGAATTGCAGGCAGGCCAGATCAGCAGATCAGATCTGACACGGAGGAGCGGGAGAATCTTGAGATGTGGCCGCCGTCGTCCATGTCGGATTCAAGACGTTGACCTACTGTTCCAGCGCGCAGAGAGGGAGAGAGAGACGCGGTGAGGAGAGATGACACGTACGTACCTCCGGGAGCCTGCGCGTCGCCCATGGCTGGTGGATCTGTGGCCAGTTAGGTGCCTGCGCCGCTCCTCTGCCGGCAAGGCTGAGGCGAGAGAAGAAGACGACCAAGACCGAGACGTAGGGGCCGGGACACAGCAAGGCCACTGTGTGTGTGTGACCACGTTCTTATCATTAGCACTAGCAGGCGGCCTCCAGCAGCTCAGTCAGTCCCCCATGCTGTCAGTGGTTAGATAACAACGAGATTAGTACGTATTAAAAACAACAAGGGCCAGCACCGGTCAAGTCAGCAACTCCATGATTGAATATGCAATCATCAGGCGTGCCCTGATTGATGGTACACTCATGCCGCACTCCACCATTGCAAAGGTGATAGGTGTACGAGAGGAATCAAAGTAGCCATGCTCAATAACTCTGGGCATAATTAACCGAAGATCGAAGACCGAACCGAAAAGACCGAGACCGAGACCGAAAAGACCGAGACCGAGAAGTTCGGTCATGAGTTCGGTCCTGGCTCCCAACTAACCGAAGTAACCGATAGAAGTTCGGTCATATGTGTCGGTTAACCGAAGTGACCGAACTGACCGTAGTTCTGTAGACTTCGTTCGTAATGTCATTATGTGTGATTGTGATTTGTGAGAACTGAGAAAGTTGTGTGCTAGAACTTGTCATAATAATGTGTGGTTTGTTTTATATATTGTGTTGTTATTTTTTTTGCCTTCAAATAGCAAGCATGTTGTTGAAAATTGCTATAGATTCTGCTATTGTTTGTGGCTGCTACTCAGGTCTGGTTAGTTCGGTCGTGACCGAGACCGAACCGAACTAACCGAGACCGAACTTCCTCGATCTTCGTTTTTTGCAAAGACCGATCGGTCCCAGGTTTCTGATGACCGAACTGACCGAATGACCGAGGAACCGAACCGATCGGTTCGGTCTGACCGAATGCCCAGGGTGAATGCTCAACGTGTTACATACATTAAAATGATAATGCTGGCCCGTCTAGGCAAGTTCCGTCCAAACGACTTGTTCCAGGGCTTGCCTAAAAAATAAAAAACACGGCGACATTTTCTTTCCCTACTGTTGCACGCATGCGACCGCCATGGGCGCCTCCACCGTACCGCCGCTGCCCTTCTCCAACGCCGCAGCCTTCTCCAGATGCGGCCTTCCTGCCCAGACGCCACGCACCCATTCCGCCTCGTTGCTGCCACACGCCCATCCCGCGCCGCTCACTCCCACCCGTCGCTCTCGCCCATCCCGCGCTGCTCGCTCCCGTGCCCTCGCGTGCACCGCCTGCCCAGCCGAGCCAAGCCCGGTGATACTAGCGGTGGTGGTTGTGGTGGTGCTCGCGTGGCGCCGGCTCCGAACCCGACGACTGGAATCGCCTGCCCCCCACTCCCCTATGTTGCAAGCACATATTTCAAGTATTTCAGATGTTTTGTAGGTATGCTTCAAGTGTTTCATGTGGATGTGACAAAAGTAGATCGGGACGTTGCATATGTTACAATAATTGTATACGTATGTTGCAAGTGTCTGTTCCCAATGTTTCATCTATTTTTTCATACGTATGTTGCAAGTGTGTTTATCTGAATGTTGCATGTGTTTCACACGTATGTTGCAAGTGTTTTGTCCGGATGCTACATATGTTTGCAATTATTTTTTAAGTGTTTTCATGTGTTTTTGCATGTGTTTCAAGCGTATGTTTCGAATGTTTGAGCTGTTTCGTATATATATTGTAATTGTTTCTTTTGGATGTTTCAAAAGTAGATCAGGGTGTTATGCATGTTGCAATGTGAGCTATTGCTACAGCTACAGGCGCAGTAGGTGTGGAGGGGCGCGGGAAGCAAGGAAGCATGGGAGAGTGGCGCGAGCGGACCCCGCCGGTGCGTGCAGCAGGTGTGGGCGTCCGGACGCGGGGGTCCGTCCGGACGTCCAGGCGCTAGTGCTGGCGATGTTAAATTTGATAAGATGTATATGTACCCTAAAGAAAACACAAACTTCAGGATGCCAAAGCTCTTGAACTTAGATGATTTATTTCTTATCTATAGGCTTCATAAACATATATAGTAGATCAAATCCTTGTTATTTAAAACAAGCTTCTATTTGACATAGAAACCGAAAATGCTAGCATAAAAAACTGCCTGCCCTAACAAACTAGTAATACAATTCTGGTTCCAATACCCCTTCGCAACTGGAGATCGGAGTAAAAGGTGGTCTTTACCCTCGTCTTTATGTCACAAACTGAGAGAATGTAAGAGCATGTTTGGATTGTTGCTAGAGGAAACAGGGCCTAATTTTAGCCGTTTCCCGTCGGCGAGGATGTGATTTGGTTGCAAGCAGTGCAAGCCAAGATTTGGCTTGGGTTCTTCCGGTATCCACGCTACGCTCATTTTTCAGCCGAAGAACGGCCGATCCGCGAGGCGGCTAATTCATGTGCCAATTTTAGTTCCTACTCATCTCAATTGACTTGGGACAACAATTTACATCATGCGTCCTAGTTGACTCGAACAAGCATATACGATGTTATTTGATTAGAAAAATGTAACATTATCTGTTCACGGAGCGGAATAGAAAGTGTTACATGCATTTGGTTAAGGCCAGGCCGCAATCAAGTACGACGTAATTAGATACCGGTCTATGCACCTTTGGTGTTGTTTGGTTGAGCAAAGGGAAAGGGAACACTAATGGAAACTATTCCCACCCGTAACTGTTGCACAACAATCGATTACGGCATCTGTTTGGTTGCCGTGGGCAATGCTTTCCATTCTATTATTCTTATTGGTTGGCAACCAAGTAACCATTGCTGGAAACAATAAAATAAGATACTTTGAACTATCCTTGACTAAGAAAACAATAACTGAAGGCATATTTCAGCTGTTAGTGGCAGGACAACAGCAAGACAGTACAAAGCATATTTCAACAATAAGATACTTTGAACTATCCTTGACTAAGAAAATTAGAAGGATAAGTAATCAAAATCTTAATAAATGATTCAAAAATCTCAACAAATGGTGACCAAATTAACTTTTGACTAGTATAGTTTCAAAATGCATTATCCAATGCGAACTGAGCCTAGCTCAGTTTTTTAGATCCCTGTGGTGGAGCCTGCTCATCCGAGTTTAAGTCATCGACTTGGCACGGGTGTTCGCATTGTTCTGGATTTATTCTAGGATTTAATGGCGTTGTACTTTCAGTGATAGGTGACGTTTCTGTCGACAGCAAGGCGCCTGTGGTGACTTCGTCAATCTTGAGATGTGCCGGTACAGTCTTTCAGAGGTGCTCATAGGGGTAGGGTTTGCGCACGTGTGTTCATAGGGGTGAGTGTACGTGCATGTTGAGCGTCTGCGTCTGTACTTGTGTAATTAAAAAAAAATGCATTATGCAACAGTGATAGTTAGCAGGTGACAGAGGCGAGCTTCATTGGGCCGTGCGCTTGTCCTAAGTAACAGGGTGCGAGACCTAATGACATGGAAAATAGGCGTACTAACAGGGTGTGGTACCCAATGTCCAGATACAGTAACTTTTTTTAACCAGCACTTGTCCAACCGGGTGTGGAACGTTTGTTGGGAAGCTCATCAGCTATGGCCACTATGGTATGCTGGGCCCTCTAACCGGCTGTCGGCCTGTGGCTCATCTAGCTCATTCGTACCAATGAGCAATACCTGTATATACAGTGAATTTACAAGAAAGAACTTTCAAAGTTGAGTTTGTTTATTTTCAACTACGCGATAGGACAGCAAATAGTGAAGACAAGAGGTAAAAAAAACGATCTACGTCACAACCTCATTGTCATTAAAATTTACATCCAGAAACCGGAACGGTTGAACATAGCAAAACTAGACAATATATACGGATTGGGTACCAATCTTTCTTAAATTTGCACATTGGAGTGAAATGAACACGGCGTATCAAATTCCGGGACACTCGTGAAACAGAACATGTTGCATAGGACACAGAACCTGCAATTCAGGTAAGTTCGAGGTCTGTCGCCCGCCGCTGTCCAAATTGCTGTGCTGAATCTTGCGAGCGATCACGCCGCCGCCGGGCTTGCCGATGGATCGTCTAGTTTGCAACTTGTCCGCCGCGGAGACAAGGGAACCTGCCGCAAGAATTAGGATGGGCCACCAAACGGCAAACGCTAAGCGAGGAATTAAGCAAATTGATGAGATGTGCGTTCAGCAGCAGGAGTACCTACCATTCCATGAAGCTTCTTGATCTCTTGAGCTCACCGGCCGGCTGTGCTGGTTCGGTCGCCGCCGTCGCCCCCTGCGGCCGAAGGTTCTCCGGTGTCCCGACGAAGTAATCTTTATTCGTTTCAAAAGGCAAAGTTACTATACATATTCAACAAACTCGATAATGGTGTGGTGCGTGGCTGCGTGCGTTGCTGTGGGTCGTCAGTGGAGCATGCATGTGGCGTAGTACCTCCGGGGATCTGGGTGTTGGCAAGCTTGGGTTCAGCGGCAGCCGCCTGCGGCTGGTCGTCCACCTTGCTCGCCGGCCGGCCGATGAAGTATTCTATGTAGTATATGTTCGTAGCACGGCAAACCAAAGATGATTAGCGAGAGAAAGAGAGGGATGGAGCGAGATTGTGAACTTTGTGGCACACACCTCCAGGAACAGAGTCGCCCATGGCTGATGGGATCGATTATGTGGCCCAACAACAGCCGCCTGCACTGCTCCGCCGGCGGGACGATGATGGCGACGGCCAAGACCAAGACACGGGGGAGGAGGAGACGCCCTCACCACGCTTTTATCAGCAGGGCGTGCTCCGACCCCGTCGGAAGAGATGGTTTCTGGCCCCAGGCTGGCGGCAGTTGTCACCAGCCGGAGGTTAATAGGCGACGACCGACGAGCCGCCGACGACCAGGGCCGGCCGAGTCAACCAATTCTCTCGGCTCATCATGCGTCATATCGTGCACCATTGGAGCAAAAACACGCCAAAGCCGAACAATAGTTGGCCCGCCTCACCATTGCAATGGGCCCATGGCAGGGTCCACAGCATTGCCTCCACTTTCAAGTTCCACCAAGAAAAAAGTCCACATTACCTTCACCAAGCATATGATATTATATGTTCACCATGTAGATCTACTTATGTGGAGTTCAACCCAAGATTAATTTTTTTATTTTATGATTTTTTTGTAATTTACTATAATTTTTTCAAAGATTCAGCTAAAAAAAGAAGAAGACAAAACTGTCTTTGAAAACCGCTTATAACCGGTCAGGGAGGTAAAACGAACGGTTTTAAAATTTCAGGGAGGTAGTTTACCCGATTTTAGAGTTCGGGAAGGAAAAGCAGACTTTTGCAAAAGTTGAGAGAGATAATATAGACTTTTTCCTTCCACCAACTGCCGAGGCGTGGCCATGGAGGGGCCTAATTGCCATTTTGGGTTGACTTGACTCGTTGCTCTTCTGTTTTTTTATTCCCTCACAAGCCTTTTTCGTCACTACTGGATTATATTTTCAGTTTGAGCTAACCCAAGTTTTCTCAGGTCTATGATATTTCCCCTCAAAGAAAGAAAACCAGTAATTCAAACTTCAAAGTCTCCAAATTTTGTCTCAAATTATAATGTAGGTGAATTAATTGTCACAAAAGCAGTAATCATATATCTGCATATCATTAATTTTTATAATTAGACTCAAAATATAGTAAGCATAATATTTACTCGTAATTAAGGAAGAGTCACATTCGATGGAGGGGTACTATATTTCTTCTGTACCATCTATCTATATGCTCCTCACCTCCTTTATGAGTTAGCAAATTCAAATATGAGCAGTTCGAAATATAGTAAGCGAATGCATTTGGTGTCACACAACTATTTAAATTTGGAAAAATAGTCATTTTGGTTCATCAACTATCATTTGACGTTGAGTTTCGTCCCTTAACTTCTAAAATGGCCGTTTTAGTAAGTGATCATTCAGTCCTCAAAGTTTGCATTCTGGGCTCAACTTCATCCATGAATTATCAATTGTCGGATATATGGGACCAAGATACCTCACCGTCTATATGCTGACCCATACCTGTCTACCAGGCCAAGGAATGAGGCCCATGTGCGATGGGCTTATTAGCAGATGTAGAAAGCTATCACATAGATATTCGGTGTCGTCATATCTAGGTGATAGGATTGAATAATTCTTTTATGTTTTCCATATAACAAACAAGGAAACACATTTGTTAGCCAATCGGATCTACTGTAACCCTACCCCCGGACTATATAAGGAGAGGTAGGGGCCTCCCAACTGGGATCCCATCCTTTACATTCTATCGCATAGCTACAATCAGCAATTGTTGTAACCGAGCATAAGAATACAGAGAGATATACTTTAAACTGGGCGTAGGGTCCCACGTGCTTGAACCAGTATAATTTCATGTGTCTTGTGTGCTACCCATCTGATTCCCTATACGCGAATACGATGATCGGTATTGCCGGAGTAAATACTTCCGACATCAATATTCAAAGGACTAGATCAACTGAAATGCACTTTGATAGTGCAATGGATGAAACTAAGCCCAAAGTGTGAAGTTTGAGAGCTAAAACGGTTAATTTGATAGGCTTAGGATGAAACCGGGCCCAAAAGTAAGGTTTAAGGACATAAATGACCATTTTAGAAGTTTAAGAACAAAATTGAACCTTGGACAATAGTTGAGGACCAAAATGACTATTTTGCCTTTAAAAATCCTTCTCTTTACTTTCTATCCTTTTGTATATTTTCTAGTGAGTTAGCAACTTTAGGAAACATGATCGCAGGCTACATTCGCTCTGAAGTGTCCTTCGCCTTGATATTCATCCTTTGCATCATATACTTTCAATCACCAAGTCTTGGGGCCAAGACCTGTGTGGCTATTCTGATTTGTGACATTCAATTGCATTACTCCCTGCAAAACACACACACACTAGTGACACATTTGTACTCATCGATCACCAAAAACCCATGATCCCCATAAATGGAGCCTAGATGTGTTTAACGGCATAATATGGTAGAAGGGATGGACCGGAATGGTACAAAAACAATACAAATTTAGGGAGTTGAGTATGCAACTTACAAGTATCAGGACATGGATGAGAACTTAGAACAAGTTTAGGGAGCTGAGTGTCCAATGTTTGAGAACCGAGCGTGAAATTTACAACCATCAGAACCAAAATGAGAACAAAGAACAAGTTTAGGGAGTTAAGTGTGCAATTTGTAAATACCAAGACAAGGTAAAAACTTTGCACAAGTTCAATAACTGCAAGTAAATTTTATCCTTGCCCAAACATACCTGTTGATGCTGATTCGGGTCACACACTAGTAAGAGCTAGCATGTCGAGGCCACACATGGCCTAGCATGCAACGATAATGCTCAAAAACAGTAAGGCCGACTAGGAAGTCAGCCACGTAGATCTGACATCCATTCTTCGCCTAAAAAGCTCACAAACACCTCCCGGGAAGACCCGTTGGGAGGGGGCACATCGAGGCTGTCCTAGGATTGGTATGGCCACTTAGAACATCAACGAATCTCGTTGAGAGAGGCACCGGATAACAGAGGGCTGGAATAGCTAGAGGTGGCAGAAAGTAGTAGTAGATTGATTTTTGCGATTGTGTATGGATAATCTTAATGGGTTGTGATCCTCTGATGTACATGGATATGGTGGTCTTATTCTAGTTAGAAACCTTATGTACATGGATACGGTGGTCTTATTCTAGTTAGAAACCTTCCCAAGTCATGTTTTACATGTTTTTCACGAGATAAGAGAAATTGGAGTCAAGTTTGGGAAGAACTAGACTAACCGTCCTCAACTGGTTCAAACAGCCTCTGCGCCCCGTCCTCTAGTGAAACTGGACTGGCCGGTTTCGTCTGCCTTGTCCGAACGTCACCAAACTTGTGTAGACCGATTTTTACTGGATTTTGCGAGCATGGCTCAGATTTACTCAAATTTAATTTATTTTGTTGTAGTTGTCTAACCGACTCGAATACAAAGATTTCCGATTGTCAACAATACAAAAAGTGTTATTTTCGGTAATATCGCGGAAATAGCGTGCGCTGTGCGACCATTCTCACTGGTGTTGTGTCCAAAAAAGAACTGTTCGGGGCAGTAGACATTGTGTAAACCGAAGCAAAAGTCTCGGGCGTTCGGCTGTACTACTTCCCGCTTGTTTCAGCTTGTTTTATCTTATTCTCTTTCACAGAATACTATTGAATCATTCGAAACCATCCAAAATTTACTGTTCGGCCTACCAGCCGAACGAGGTGTGAGGACGCATGCAGGAAGACGTCACCCGGAAAAAAAAAAAGACAAGCAGGGTACCTGTCAGCTTTATTACGACTTTGGTAGCAGCTAACGAGGTCTTCGTTCCTTCGGTCTTCCGAGCAAAAAGTCTTCGCCCCCTCGGCGTTGAGAAGGTGTGAGATGCAGTCATCCATCTTCAGTTCTCCACTGTGATCACGAGGTGCGTGCCTCTGTCTGCTTGCCAAGGTTAGGAGGTAACATGATGGCTATGAATTAGTTCATCTTCTACTGATGTCTGATGGGATTCTGTTTTACTTCTTTTTCTCTCTCTCTCTCTCTTTTTTGAACTAGGACTCTGTTTTGCTTTCGGAATGCTATTCCTCGAGTAGATCTTCATTTTCATTTTTCACCAGTCGACCTGTATTTTTTCAGTGCCGATGTGTTTTCAGTTTTCACCACTACATCTGCATTTTCTTTGACTTTTCAGTTTTCACCAGTAGATGTGTATTTTCTTTTCACCTTTCAGTTAGGCTGTAAGGTATAGTCTGTATGTGACAACTCCAAGATATTGTTGAACGAGAAGAAGAAGACCATGGATCGCAAGCAAGCTCGAGTTTTTCCTTTTTTTTTCTGGAAAGTTGTTGTTTAACTAACTATTAATTTTAACTTCTTGGAAACTTATTTGTGACCCAAATGTTCTATTCCTATAATTTGTTTATTATTAATACAAAGTTTTCAAATATCAACTCGATTGTTCCGCCACCAAGGACCGAGGTTCTCTGCGTTTTTTTCATCGTGCTAAGATGAAATCCTTTATTTCACCTGGTATGGTGTTGATATTCTACAACTGCTTTTATCTATTGGTCCGTGGCCATCATAAATTGCTTTCAGATGGCATTGCTATTTTCAAAGCAGATCTGCGATGACCAGGATACAAGGCGAGGGGTCGTCTGTGAATCTGTAACTGGCTAAATTTTTGCGAGTTCGCAGATATAAACCACAAAAATTTAGCTTATTTATAGGTTTACGGTAAACCGCCTTGCATCCCTAGGTGCCACCATAGCTTCAGTACCTATGGGCACCCATACTTAAAATGGGTCTCGAATGGTACTATATCAGCTTTCAACAGAGCAGAGACCTATTTTAGGTTACAACAAAGGCACAACCTAAATATGAGTATCCTCTCTCCTAAAGACTCATTTGCAGAAAGGGTTCTCTTTTGGATCCTGTTGTTAGAGAAGACCAAAAATAGATACGGGACCATTTACCTGTAGCACTATCTAAACGTAAAATGGATCTTGTATTTTGGTCAATGTTGTTGGAGATAGCCTAACCAATCTCCCACTCCCACTCCCACCTTCCATTAATTACTGCTCAGTAGGATGTCCGTCGTTCATGATAAAGTGTCTTAGGCAAGTCATTC